TTGCCCATTTGTCAGTAAGAATTTTTTACTCATTTAAAACACAATAAAATTTAATATGCTCCCTTATTCTTTTATATATTTGAATATGTACACGTCAGAATAAGCATGTTGTTTGAATTTTTACATAAATATTGTTACACTTAATGACAATGTAACATTATTTCAACCAAATTTTGACGTTTTATTCTCCAAAAACTTATTTGAAACCTTAAAAGTAGACACTTTACTTACATTTAATGTGCATTCTATGGACATAAAATCACTTTTGTAAATTTCTTTTGATGCGGACATCTTAATGTCTTTGACCCATATATATATATATATATATATATAATTTCAGTTGGTTGTCAGGGCAATATTTCTTATTTTCATACAGTTTATCTTGATGTACTAATATAACTAAAAGTGAAATAAAAATGAACTGAAACTATAAATAAAAAAATAGAAAAAATTACTAAAACTTTAACTAAATTTAAAATAAACAGAAAATATATAAATAAAACCCTAATTCAGAATAAAAACTATACCGTAATAGTATCTCAGTAAATAAACATACACTGCTTTAAAGTTAGCATGAAATCAAAATTTACTCTGTTTATTGCATGTTACTGGTCTTATTGTAAACAATTCATCCATGCATTTTTGTTTTTGTAAAAGATTTTTGACTTCAGTAATCTTGAATCGAAATCTGATAACTTGCTCTTCCTGTGATTATGTTCACATGATGTCTATGGCAGATGTAAGTCTGTGCTGCTGTGAAGCCAGTTACATTCAGATCTGCCTCCATTCCAGTATGCAGTGCTCATTTTCACAATCCAATTAGCAAATGATGATTAAAAAGTCCTGTCTTACCTTTGTTCCTCTTGTCATTTGGAAATGCATCACAATACAGAAGTAAATTCTGCTTCATGTTGACTTAATAGAAAAGGCAGGTCTGTTGACTGTATTGTTGTCATAGATTGAAATGTATTGTTTGTGCGGACGGGGTTGATTTCAGACGAGTGGAGAGAAGGTGAGTAAACTCAGTCTGGTGGATCTGGCCGGCAGTGAAAGAGCAGATAAAACTGGAGCTGGAGGAGAAAGACTCAAAGAAGGCAGCAACATTAACAGGTCACACACACACACACACACACACACACATACACACACACACATGTTTGTTTATACCATGTTGGGGATTTTTGACTTTGCTGTTCATCGGCTAATATTTGGCCATTTTGACCCTGTCTGATAGTGTGTCAGATTGTTTTTTTTTTGTTTAAGCATTTATTTAAATAAAATTTTCTTTATTTATTTTAACTATTTAATTACATGACTCTCTCTTTTTATTTATTAAAAATTTTAAATATTTGTGTTTACAAATAATTGTAATTCCTAATGCTTATTTGTGAATAAGCATTTATTTAAACTATTATTTATTTTAATTATTTATTGGAATAATTCATTGCTTTCTCAGTCATTTGTTTGTCTATATTTTTTTTTTCTAATAAATCTATTTTTATCAGTTATTTAATCATTTAATTTAATCAATGTATTTATTTTTTTAATTCTTTTATTTATTTATTAATTTACTTGGTTTCACACAAACACACCATCATTTGCACACATTCAGGTGTAGTCTTGTGAATGTTTTTGTGTTCAGGTCCCTCACCACTCTTGGACTGGTGATCTCGGCGTTGGCGGAGCAGGGTGCAGGAAAAAACAAGAGTAAATTTGTTCCTTACAGAGACTCAGTGCTCACATGGTTACTGAAGGTGACGACAAACTTTATTTTACTACTACAAACCTTTAAGAATTCAATCATTCGTTTTCAAGAAATAATGCAGCCCAAAATTAACATTTTGTTATTCATTTCCCACTCTCACGTTATTCAGTGCCTGTATGCTGTTACTTTATTTGCATAAAAAACTTTATGCAGCTTTTTAAAAATGCATAGAAACCCTCCATGTTGTCCATATTGCTGTCAAGATTCCAAAAACACCATAAAAAAAAAAAAAACATTTATATGAAATTCAAAAAATCTGTGGAAAGGATGCCATAGATTTGGCTTTGTTTCCTCAAAACTCTGAAATTTCCTCTTTTTTTTGCACATCAGGACAGTTTAGGAGGAAACAGTCGCACAGCTATGGTTGCAGCGGTGAGTCCAGCGGCCGACAACTACGACGAGACTCTGTCCACGCTACGGTACGCCGACCGGGCCAAAAGCATCGTTAATCACGCCGTGGTTAACGAAGATCCAAACGCCAGAATCATCAGAGAGCTGAGAGAAGAGGTGGAGAAACTCCGTAGCCAGCTGACCGAGGCTGAGGTACTGCACAAGAACACCTGTCTGCTGTGAGTGAGCTCAACGTTCACCTCTAGCACGCTCATCAGTGTGTTTTCTGTGTGTGTAAAGTCTATGAAAGCTCCTGAGCTCAAAGAGAGACTGGAGGAGTCCGAGAAGCTGATTCAGGAGATGACTGTGAGCTGGGAGGAGAAACTCAGGAAGACTGAGGAGATTGCACAGGTATTAAACACACACACACGTGCTTATATATGTGTGTGCCAGAATATATATATTTTTTTTAGTTGCATTTTTTGTGAATTGAGTAAATATGTAAGCATTTAAATCATTTTAATTAATTAATTTGAATTATTAATTAAAAATTAATTAATTACATGATTATTTGCCCCATTCACATTTATTTATTTATTTATATTTTTTATTTAATAATTTTTAGAATTATATTTTGATCCCTTCATATTTACATATTTTCATATAAGGTTCATTGATTTGATTAATTGCCTGATATTTGGCCATTTTTACACTGTCTACATTGGTAGATTGTGATTTGGGTCGATTATGTAAACCAAGCATTCATTGAAATTATTTTAAATTAAGTATTAATTTATTTTAATTATTTATTTAAATGGTTTAATGGCTTTTTGACCATTTTTATTAACTTTTAATAGATTTTTTTCTAATTAATTTTTGTCTTCTCTTATTATGAGTATATATGAGCACAACAAGGTTGATCCCCTCAAGTGTGTGTGTGTATTTTTAAACAATTCCAGAGAGAAAAGGCGAAAGGGAACTCGATTCGTTACTCGCGAGCTGTTCTCTATCCGCACAGCCGCACACACAGCGCACACACACGTTTCAGACGGCGCACGAACACTGAACTGAATCCTCTTCTGAATCCTCTGACTTAAAGGGACAGCGGCCTATAAATACTGCTGCTGTCATTAATTATCATCAAACAACAAAACAGCTGTGATAAAAATCTATATTTAATTTATACAGTGAACACTATGCGGTGTTATTTTCCCTAATTATTACATTTCTGTATTTGAATACTACCAACCTTATTTTATTTGTAACATATTCTGTTGTATTTATCTATGCTTGTAATTTGTATTTTTACTGGCTGTTCTCTTGTCTCTTTAATCATGTTTAAACTTTCTTAGTTAATCTAGTAGTATTTGCTGTGGTATCAAAGAAGTACTTCACTTTAAGTAATAAATGGAAAGCAAGTTAAATTGAAATATTTTTCTTTTCTTGCTGATCCGAAAAATGATCCGATCCGTGGGTCAAAAACCGTAATGTGATCCGAACCGTGAGATTTGTGATCCGTTGAACCACTAATAAATATATATATATAGTAGCATATATAGCAATAGTAGCATAATAACTAGTTGTCTCACATTTTTACCCTATTTTTCCATCAAAAAATATTTTGACATTTTCAGGCCCATTTTTTACTTTTTTATTTATTTGTTATTTTTTTGTATAGTTTGTTTAATTGTACATTAAAAAATGTTGTAGGATTTGCTTTTTGCTCAGAAATTGCTAGTAAATTTCACAAATAATTACAAAGTAACACATTGAAATAAATATGAAATTTTTAAGAAGATGTAAATAAAACAAAAATTTACAGATGTTTTACTGTAAATGTTGTAGGATTTGCTTTTTGCTCAGAAATTGCTAGTAAATTTCACAAATAATTACAAAGTAACACATTGAAATAAATATGAAATTTTTAAGATGTAAATAAAACAAAAATGTACAGATGTTTTACTGTAAATAAAACAAAAATGAGTGGAGAGCGTTTTACAAGAAAATACTGTTTCAGTGTGTAATTGTTGATCTGTTTTTTGTAATTGTCAGCATATCACCGCATGCGGGTTTTGTCAGGATCTTCTGCATTTAAAGAAATGATAAAACCCCTCAGGACAGTCAGCAAAACACACACAGAAGTGTGGATGGCATTCCTCTGAACTGAAGTATGTTTGCTTCTTCAGGAGCGACAGAAGCAGCTGGAAAGTTTGGGAATTTCTCTGCAGTCGTCTGGGATCAGAGTCATTGATGATAAATGCTTCCTGGTCAACCTGAACGCAGACCCCGCTCTCAACGAGCTGCTCGTCTATTACTTAAAGGTACAGACACAGATTAATACAGATCAGTGTTACGGTCTCCGCTTGAATATTTTATATAAAACTATTCATATGCATGCATGTTGATTGACTATCAGCTGTAATATTTGTTCATTTGAAAGTGCCATGTTTTGGTGAAGTTTGGTGTGGATGAGGTGTTGTATTTTCATTGACGTGTGTGTTTATGTGCAGGAACACATAACTCGTGTGGGTTCTGCAGACTCTCAGGACATTCAGTTGTGTGGTTTGGCAATTCAATCAGAGCATTGTGTTATAGACATCAAACTAGAGACGGGAATCACGCTCACCCCGAAGAGAAACGCTCGGTAATCTCACACACAAACACACACACACACACAGATTCAGGCAAGCGGAGTATTACACGCAAAACAGTGTGAAATTTACACAAAACTGTCTAAAATAGTAAATGATTTCTAAAAGGATTACTAAAACTTTAAAATAAACATGAATTGAAAATAAATCAAATATAAAATATGTATTTTGCTTATTTCTGAAATTATTTCATCTAGTTGCCAAGGCAACATTTTCATTTAGTTTAACTTGAAATAACTATTAAAATATCTCAAACTAAAACTGAAATAAAAATGTATAAAAACTGTGTAGATATTTTTACATTTTTCTTTTTTTAATATGTTCTTAAATTATATTTGTAATTTATTTATAAACTAATGAAAATGACAAAAGCATGCAACAAAATTACAAAAACCTTAACTAAATGAAATAATAAAAATAAAAACTAAATTTTAAATTCAAAAAAATTCTAAATGTTAATAAAAACTATAATAGTGTCTCAATGATACTAAAGTAACACTCAATGTAAATTATGCTGAAATTAAATGATTTATTTATTTGCACTAATAGTGCACTATGTATGTGCACTAGTAACAAAATGTATTTGCACTGTGTTGCACTAATAGTGCGCTATTTGCATTATATACTCAGTTTATGTGCACTATTTGCACTATTGACCCAGTTTATATGCACTGTTTGCACTAATAATGCACTATTTATTTGCACTAATTAGTTATTTACACTAATAGCGCACTATGCACTCAGTTTGTTTTGCACTTTTTGCACTGTTAACCCAGTTTATATTCACTATTTGCGCGAACAGTGCATTATTTATGTGCACTAATTAATCAGTTATCTGCACTAATGGTGCACCATTTATGTGCAAAACCATTAGTGCACATAAATAACCAGTACATAACAATTGAAAGAAAATGTGATTTAATGGTATTTATTTATCCATTCATATTTATGTTTATATATTCATTATATTATATTTTTATATATGTGTGTATATATATATATTTAAAATAAACAAATTTTATAATTATTTTAAAGTAATTGTATTGTAAATAAATTGTAAATTGCTAATCTAATAATCAAATACAACAATTAAAGTATATAATATTTAGAATAAACTATATATTGCATATACAGTAGACAGTTATATTAACTGCTATATACAAATCCTGTTATATAAAGCTTAAACCCAAAATGTTGATGTCCGGCTTTACATACTCGTAACTATGTATTAGTCTGTCTCTATAGCTAGTGATAGTATGTAAGAATATGTGTGTATGTGATGATTCGTATAGTGTCTGTCTCTGTGTGCAGCACATGTGTGAACGGCGCTGTGGTCTCGTCTCCCGTCCAGCTGCATCATGGGGATCGAATCCTCTGGGGAAACAACCACTTCTTCAGGTCAGTGAGACACATTTACACTCGGGTGCTGGGTTTATTTGTGTTTCATCGATTTGATGTCCATTAAAATGGATTTGTTTAGTTAGATTAAAATCTTAAAGACACCATTTAATGTGTCCTCTTCTTAAACGACCCCTGAAAAAAGTGTCAAATTGACCCAAAGCCGTGTGTGTGTGAGTGCGTACTGACTGTACTATTCTCTTTGTGTTTCTCAGGATCAGCGTGTCGAACGCGTATCGTGTTGGTGTTGAGGATGAGGAGGGGTGTACGACGAAGGCCGGTCTTCCTGAGCATCTGGATGTGGATGTAGACCGTCTCAGTCACGCCTCCAGTGACAACAGCTTCAGTTTTGAGTCCGCACAGACGGAAGTCATGATGAAAGCGCTGGGAAACAACGGTAAGAGGCACGGCACACAACAGACAACCTGTTACTGTCAATATAACCCCTTTTAAAGGGTGATTCTGGGCTGCTTTAAGTGTTACAAACTAATAAAAAAACACTTTGAGATCCAAGTGAAATTGAATGGTGCTACATTTAAATTGAATGGCAGTTGTACCAGTATTCTTCTGTAATGTTATAGTTGCATTACATTTTTAATCACCATACCTATTTTTGAGAGCATGTGTAAACAAAAATAATTAGTAATATTTGTCATATATAATAAAAAATATATTCCTTTTTGTCTTGTTGTAATAAATAACATTACATATAGTTTTTCTGGCTTCTAAATGGATATAACAAAAATTAGAATTTTTTTCTTTTATTCTTTTTTTTAATTTAATCTAGAAAGACTTTTTAGAGAGCATGTGTAAACAAAAATATCCATTAATATATTTCTTTAATTGAATAACATCACATGTACCTTAAAATGTTTATCAAAGATTTTAGATTTTTTTTTTAATTTACATTTTTTGTAAACAAAACATTTAATATTTCTCATATATCATGATTTTTTTTTTTTTTTCATTAAAATGAATAACATCACATAAAATGTGAATTCAGGCTTTTAAACAGATTTAACAAAAATGAGAAATTATTTATGGCATATTTTTTTCCCCTTCTTTATTCTAGTATTTTTTTTAAATGTATTGTAGAAAGACTTTTTTAGAGGGCCCATGAAAACAAAAATATCCACTAATATTTCTCATCTGTCATGGAATTTTTTTTTTTGTTTCCCCAGCATTTAAATATATTTAACACTCAACACTTCCATCTTTATCGATATATGTGTTTGTGTATGTTATGTAATTTGTATTAATTTCTAAAATAAAAGTAATCAAATTATATTTAAAAAAATAATATTTTCCATCTTTTTATATGGACAGTTTTTCCATGATATTTTGACACTAAAAGCTTTATTAGATAAATAAATAAAACATATTTAAAGTATTTTAATTAAATGTGTCTTCATCTGCATTTTGACCAACTTATTTTTTTAGTATGCAACTCTTTCATGCAAAGCATGCACATGGTTCAGGAGATATTATTTTACTGCACAAGAAGAGAAAGTATAAAAAAAAACTAAATAGATAAATAAAAATAAAAACCAAAACAACAAAAGCAATATATAAAGAACAACAGCGCTGGATGGGATCTTAATACACAAAGGAAGACAAAGCATTAACCAGCCAGTCTATTTGAAATCAGATATAGTTCAGAAAAGGATATGCTTATTCTGACCATTTTGTTTTTAATGAGTGAAATGTGTGTGTCTCAGAGCCGCTGCAGTCGGTGCTTCACTCTCTGGAGCGCAGGCATGAGGAGGAGAAGCGCTCGGCTCTGGAGCGACAGCGGCTGATGTACGAGCAGGAGCTGCAGCAGCTGCGCAGAAGTCTGTCGACAGAGCTGCAGACGCAGGGCTCTCACCCGCAGCAGCAGCGCCTGGTCTCCTCTCAGAGCCCACTGCGCCAGTGGAGTGACGAGAGGTGAGAGCCCAGCACAAACTTGCACTCAGTGTGTTTTGAGTTGTGTGTGTGTGTGTGTGTACTAAATATCAGGTTTCTGTGCTTTCAGGGAAGTTTTGATGAATCGAAGTCTGCGTAAGCTCAAAGATCAGATCGTGAAGGCCAATCTGCTGGTTCAGGAGGCTGGATTCATCGCTGAAGAGCTCAACAAGAAAACCGAATATAAAGTCACACTGCAGATCCCGGCTGCTAACCTCAACGCCAACCGCAAGGTCAGGAGAGACACTCTGTGTGTGTGTGTGTGTGTGTGTGCGCGCGTGCGTGTGCGTGCGTGCGTGTGCATGTGCGTGTTATTGATTGTTGACGTATTTGTCCGGTTATATTTTTAACATTAATGTTGTAGATGTGTGGTGTCATATTTGTGAACCGTTCAAAACGAATGGTTCATTTAAATGGTTCAGTCAACAAGCAAGGCTTCGTAAATCGTTCTTAGGAAACTGAACTGGATGACATGTTTGTCACAGTCTGTATAACTTACTCGAAAACCTAGCGATATTTGATTAAATGTTCAATAAAATATTCATTAAATTGGCATACTATTCATCATGGTTCACATAGTCATGGAAGATCTGGAAAAATCAGGGATAATATATAAACTACTGTTCAAAAGAACTTTTTGAAAGAAATTAATACTTGTATTCAGCAAGGATGCATTAAATTGATCAAAAGTGACAGTGAAGACATTTATAATGTTACAAAAATTGTATTTAAAATAAATGCTGTTCTTCTGAATTTTAGATTCATCAAAGAATCCTGAAAAAAATCTCACGTTTTTCACAAAAATACTTGGAAGGACAACTATTTTCAACATTGATGATAATCAGAAATGTTTCTTGAGCAGTAAATCAGCATATTAGAATGATTTCTGAAGATCATGCGACACTGAAGACTGGAGTCATGATGCTGAAAATTCAGCTTTGATCACAGAAATAAATTACTTTTTACTATATATTCAAATAGAAAACAGTTATTTAAAATTGTAATAATATTTCACAATATTACTGTTTTTACTGTATTTTTTTAGACAAATTATTGCAGCCTTGGTGAGCAGAAGAAACTTAAAAAAAAATCGTACCAACCCCAAACATTAAACAATAGTCTGTTTTTTATTATCATTTATTCTAAAATGTATTTCATCAGCCAGAAATTGTTCTTTGTGAGTTTAGTCTCTATAAACATGAGCAGTCAGAGAAATTCAGACATTGAAAGTGGCTCAGAGGAAGTGATTTGAGCATTACAGTATATACTAATAGAGGAGCTTGTTGAAATGTGGGTTAGGGTGAAAATGCCGCTTTAATAAAAACGGATGTTTTCTGACCGCAGCGGGACACGGTTCTGAGCGAGCCGGCGGTGGAGGTGAGGAGGAAGGGCAAAGGGAAGCAGATCTGGTCCGTGGAGAAGATGGAGAACCGGCTGCTGGACATGAGAGAGCTGTACCAGGAGTGGAAAGACTATGACGAGGACGATCCTGTATGTCAAATCACATGACAACTTCCTACATTATCAGAATTACCATAGTACACATTACTGTGTTTTTACTCTAGCAATATTAACTGCTGTGTGACAATGCTATTTTGGAGCTATTAATGTAGCATGTATTATTATTGTTGTTATTATGTAATTTTAATATTATTTGTTTTTATTATTTAATATTGTCATTATTTTTAATATTAGATTATTTAATACATTTTTTTACCTTCATTATTTTATTTTTCATTATTTTTAATTACAAATGTATCTCTCAATTAATGTGAGGCTATAAAAACTGAAAGTATCAATTATATTATAAAATGATTATATTTAGGAAAAAATATAGAAGTCTCTTAATTAATATGAGGCTTTAAGTATAAATTTTATTATAAAAAAATATATATTTAAGTACAAATATATAAGTCTCTCAGTTTATATGAGGCTGTAAGTATGCATTTTATTATATAGAAATTATATTTAAATACAAATATTTAAGTCTCTCAATTGAGGGTATGAAAGCTGAAAGTATACATTTTATTATAAAAGAAATTGTAAAATCAACTATGCAATGTAACTCATAACATTGCTAAAATAACTATATATATATATATAATTTCCCATCCATTTTGGTTAATGTTATGTTGTGTTTTAATGGAGATAACAATCTAAACATTAAATATGTAAATAATGGTAGTTTTAAAATTATTTGAATTTTAAAACAATCAAAATAAAACACTAAAATGAAATATATGGTGGTGAAATGTTCATGTCCGTATGTTCTGGCTTGCGACTAGTGTTTTGTCTGAAAAACTATAAATAAATAAATAAAATTAAAACTCTAAAATATTTTAGAAAATAAAAATGTAAATATAAAATAGATTTTAAAGTAATTTTAATTTGAAAACAAATATTTTATTAATATACAACAATAAATATATACATAAAATATTTATATTTTTACCTGCATGTCATGTGACATCAGAGAACTGTGAAAGTGTAAATGTGTAGTTAAATTATTAAAATATTTACTTAAATTCTCAAGGGGATTTACTTCAAGTAAATATTTTAGGCCAAAGATTTGGCTGACAAAAAAGTTTGGGAATCCCTTAAAGGAAACGTAATGTACAATTAGTCAATATTTCTTTACTTTTTTTCCCCCATGACCATCATAAATGAAGTATGCTTAAAGGTGTTCATCTCATCCTCGTTGTCTGTGCTCAGGCCATGCGTTCATACTTCAAGCGTGCCGATCCGTTCTTCGACGAGCAGGAGAATCACAGTCTGATCGGTGTAGCAAATGTCTTTCTGTCCTGTCTGCTGTATGACATCAAGCTGCAGTACGCAGTGCCTATCATCAGCCAGAAGGGGGAGGTGTGCGCACATAGATTGATTAGAATTAAATAGTTTATTAAAGAGTGCAAGGCACTGATTGTCGTTTTTCAGGTGGCAGGTCGTCTTCACGTAGAAGTCGAGCGTCTGAGTGGAGAACTGGAAGAGCGTGAGACGGGGGTCTCTGAGAGCAGTCCAGACGGCGAGATGCAAGAACACAAACTCATCTGCATGGTCAGATAAAACAGGACGTCTCCGAACAAACATGCAATATTTATGAACTGTAGTTGAGTGATTTTTTATTATTATTTCCAGCTCAAGGTGTTGCAGGCGACTGGATTGCCTCAGCACCTCTCAAACTTCGTTTTCTGTCAGTATCATTTCTGGGAGCAGCAGGAGCCCGTGTTTATCGCCCCGGAAGTGGGTCTGACGGCCCCCAGCAGCAGAGAGCCGCAGAGTCTGGTGGTGTTTGACAACTGCAAGGTGAAAACACCTTCCATTGCATTTGCACTGGCTGTTTCTCTCCTTGTTTTTCCTTCCATGTTACAGACCCTGTCGGTCATCACACGTCTCTTTCTGCATCTGTAGACTCTAGAAGTGGCCGTGACTGAAGACTTTCTGGAGTTTCTGATGGACGGCGCCGTGGCTGTCGAGGTTTATGGTCACAAACAGGCGAATCCGCGCAGGAATCTGGCTCTCTGGGACCTGGGGGTGATTCAGGCAAAGACTCGCTCTCTCAGAGAGAGGTACACCAGCATTTATTAGACTGTCCTTAAACACAGATGATTGGGATGCATAATTAATAGTTATACTTGTATATAATATGCTATACTTCACTAATAAGCTAATAAGTAAAAAAAATTGGAGTGGAGGTCACACCTCCAGGAGATCAGTGAGCCAATGGTAACTTAAACTTTCGGAGGACAAGTTTACGACTCCTTGTCTTCGAACATGGTGTTTTGCATATGTAACTGGATTGGGCATTGATGCAAAACTATTAAAGATCCTTACAGCACTGATATGTTGCATAGGTATCAGCAAAAATCATCAAAATATGAATTCATAGATACCAAACATGGTATAGGTGAGGCTACATTAACTAGTGGTTCTATCTTGAAACATGCGTAAAACAGTATACAATACAATACACAAGAATAGCAATGACCTGAGGATATGCATGCTCGTTCATAGAAAGTTTTGGCTATGAATTAATGAAAGAAGTCCTTTCCTATGGCAGAAAGGAAAGCGTTTGGTTGACAAAACAGTTTGGGTTTAGGAATACTCCAACTAGGGTGCCAGGACTTGTTGGTTGTTATTCGGGTTTAACTCAAGCTTTTTTCTGTGTTGTGTGCGTGCAGGTGGAGTGAAGTGACCCGCAGTCTGGAGCTCTGGGTTCAGATCCTGGAGCTGAATGATGCTGGAGAGTTTGTGCCGGTGGAGGTTCAGCCAGCTAAGGATGTCTGCACAGGAGGAATCTTTCAGCTTAAACAGGTCTGTGTGGACATTAATGATAGTAAAACTTGATTTTGACAAATTTTCTTCTGTAGAAGATCTGATTTTACCGATGCAGTTCCTGACTTGATTCTGTGTCTGTGTGACAGGGTCAGTCCAGGCGTGTTCAGGTGGAGGTGCGTTCGGTCCAGGACTCCGGCACCATGCCTCTAATCACTGAGTCTGCGCTCAACATCTCCATCGGCAATGTGGAGGTCCATCAGACTCGATCTGGCAAAAGCACAGAGACCCAGAGGGTGAAAAACTCATCTTTACCTTGTTTTGATTTTTTAATTATTAACAGTTTTAAACAATTTCATGCAGAAATGTTGATTCAAATGTTGGCTAACTTTAAGAAAATGTAGAACTAACTCAAACACTAAAATCACAGGTAACCCCAAAAAACATTGAATGCATTAAACTAAAATGACTTTTATACATTTTTTTTAGAATTTAAAATGGAGTGACACTAAGTGACCCTACGATAAATCTGATTTTATAATTTAATAGTTTAATATTTAATATGGTAAAGATCTGTTCTATACAACCAGATGTACACTAAAATCACAGGTAACCTCAAAAACATTGAATGCATTAAACTAAAATGACTTTTATACATTTTATTTTTTGAATTTAAAATGGAGTGACACTATGTGACCCTACGATAAATCTGATTTTATGATTTAATAGTTTAATATTTAATATGGTAACGAAAATGATCTGTTCTGTACAACCAGATGTACACTAAAATCACAGGTAACCTCAAAAACATTGAATGCATTAAGTAGGGGGGGTTATGTACTAGTAGACATGATTAACCGGTAGAGATTTGTCAGCCGGTAGAGATTATGGATAATCGCCTCGGTTACATGCTCACATGACGTTGCTGTGCTATGTGGTTGCGAAAACTTCGTTTGCATGTGTTTTTAAGCATTGCGGTTTAAAAACAAGTGATTTTAAGCCATTGAAACGCAATCAGCAGAGAAAGAGAACTCGTTCGCTATATGCGCGCTATCAGAGAGACAGATGATGCTCATAGAGCACAGGAGTATTTTGCCACTTTATAAGCCTTTAACGGTTAAATACACACACTTGTAAGTGTCAGAATGCCCGTATTTGCAAGTATCCTCGTAAACACAGTAATTTAGGTCTAAAGTGAAAGCAAACAGCTGAGAAAGAAAACACGTGTAACAGTATATTGGATCCGGGCAGCTCTTAAAGCAACAGCAGTGTCTGACCTTCATGTTAAACAAACAACAAAAGAGAGAAAATCTCTCACTGCTCTTGACTAAATCACTTTTGTTACTTTAATAAGAAGAAATATATATTTAATTTACACAGTGAAGAATATGCAGTGTTTTTATTCATTTGATTACTTTATACAATGTATGTAGCATTTCTTATTTATTTGTTCTACTGTAGTTTTTTTCATTGTTCTGTTTTTAATCGCTGACTGTTTACATGTCTTCAGTGAGCTTGAGTTTATTTATTTTTTTAATTTAGGCTTGTATTAGTTTTTGTGATATTGACACTGGTGACAAAAATTATGAAATTTCTATGGTATCAAAAATTTTGATAAAGACCTTATTTAAAGCAAAAATAACTATATTGTGATGTATATCGTTACCATGAAATAAAATGACTCGTATCGTGATATAAGATTTTGGTCATATCACCCACCCCTAGCATTAAGCTAGAATGACTTCTATAGCTTTTAAATTCAAAATGAAGTGATAGTAAGTGACCCTACAATAAGTCTTATTTTATAATTTAACCTAATAGTTTAATATTTAAAATGTAACCCAACTGATCAGTTCTACATATTAATTTCACTGGATTTACTCAAAAGATTTCACTGTGTGTGGATTTTAATGCATGCATCCTCTGTGTGAATGAGGGAATGTCTGTACAGGAGAGAAAGCGTGGAAAGTCCTTATATGGAGATGTTTGGGTGTATCTTATGCTAATTATTAACTGCTGGCACATGCTTCTATATTTAGAATAATGGATTGATCAACATCAGAATGAGGGTAAAATGTACATGTTTGAACGCCTGCTGATTGCACACATGACAACACTTGTACACAATAGTAGTGAATGAGACTGGTGAGTGTGTTTATTGGTGAGAATTGGTGTTAGCAGACACACAGGTCTTAACTCCAAAGTTTTCTTGTTATTTCTGAAGGTGGGAGATAAAGATGTGGACAGTTATCAGGTAATGACTTTTCAGCCTTTTTAAATATGTAAACAATGTTTATGATATGTCTATAGTTGTCACTATCATTCATCAGGGCGGGACAAGTTGCTGAATATTGAGTAGACATTGAGATATAAAAATGTAAATGTGGATGGTCATATGTTAATTAACCCATTCTGAATGATTGTATTTATATACACTATTGTTCATTATGCATTAATTTAATTAAAAGTGACAGTAAAGACAAGTATAATGTTATTTATAGAAAGATTTCGATTTCAAATAAATGCTGTTTTTTTTTTTGTTTGTTTTTTTTTTACTTTCTGTGCATCAAAGAATTGCCAGCATTAAAGAAACAGCTACACAAACTTGTTTTATCTGTTCTGATTTTTTATAGACAAGCTCCTCATGGTTATTACTTAAATAAATGCTTTTTTTTTTTTTTTTGTTTTTTTTTTTACTTTCTGTGCATCAAAGAATCTTGGAAAAAATGTATCATGGTTTCTACAAAAATATGAAAGAGCTTCTGCATGTTTGTACCTGTAGGAGGTTGATCTGGAGAAACTGAGGGCCCGGTGGCTCACGGCTCTGACTGAACGACAGGAATATCTGGACCAACGTCTCCAGAAACTCGTCAGCAAGCAAGGTAAGATGAGATTTAGATGAACTGCATTATGGGCTGATGAAAAAATCAAATGTGTTTTTCAGTGGAATAGACTGACATTGGTGAAAGTGAGAAAAGTGTTTGACGTAATGGCACATACAGATAAGTCAGAAGAGGATGTGGAGAGCGAGTCGCAGCTGCTGGAGTGTCGTCTGACGCTGACAGAGGAGAGAAACGCTGTGCTGGTGCCCTCTGCTGGCAGTGGTATCCCAGGAGCCCCGGCGGAGTGGTATGTGACGATATATGTCGTTCCTCTCAAACAATCATAGAACTAGCCTTATCTAACCATAACCAACTCCTAAATCCCACAATCTGTTTGTTTTTGTCCTCTTTGGTTAATTCAGTTTAGTGAATTCTTCACATGAACCTTATTTTCACTGTCTGGCTCCTGTTCCTGCAGGGTTCCTGTGCCAGGAATGGAGACCCACATCCCAGTCATCTTCCTGGACCTCAGCGGTAAATATTTACCGTGTTCCAAATCCTGGTGCGCTGCCTTGATGTTTACTTCCTACATAGGCAGCTGCCTACTAAGGGAGCATCATAACTGAAATAGACCTCATGAGTGAATGATTTGGAACATGAACAGAAATATCACTTAAAATTGTCAATTTTAATTAAATTTAACTGTCTTTATTGCCAATAAAAAAAAGCTAATAATAAATGCAAATTTAAAACATTTTAAAATAAAAACAATCAAAATAAAACACCTAAATAATATGTTTAAATGCATGTTATGCAGAGTTATTTTAGTATTTTATAGTATTTAATTTTTATTAATATAAATTGACTTTTATTTTTGTCTTTTTACTTGTCTTTTTTATTTAAGTTTTCATAATTTTATTATGTGCTTTTTGGCATTTTCAGTTAGAAATTTTATTTCAGTTAGTTGCTAAGGAAACATTTCTAATTTTAGTTTATTTTGTTTTTCATGTATTTGTATTTTATTTTATTTCATCTTTATTAAGATGAAGCTGATTTATTGATAACACAATCTAATATACAGTATATAAAATACATACATAAAATAAAAACAATCCAAATAAAACAGCTTTTTTTTTTTTTTTTTTTTAAAGAAATATTTGTGTTGCTAAATTATTGAAATATTAACTTCAAAACAACTTTTTTTTTTTTTTTTTTTTAAAGAAATATTTGTGTTGCTAAATTATTGAAATATTAACTTCAAATTTTAGTGGGAATAAATATCTTACATTTGGTTAAGCTGACAAAAAAAATTTGGGGGGGGAATCCCTGTCGTATGACTTATTTCTGATCAACATTTCTCTCTTCTGTCTGTCTACAGCTGATGATTTCCATGATCATCTGTCCGCTCCTCTAGCTGGAGGTCTGGATGCTGCACTCGACAGAGAAGATAAAGATGATTTCATGGACTTACAGATAGTCAAACACTATGACAATGAGGTGAGGAGACAGTATTTTGCTATCGGTAAAAAAAGATAACTGCACCAGGTTATTCCACATTACATGAAGTTGTCTCTCTTCCCACAGGTGAAGGCAGAGGCATCATGGGACTGCACCGTTCATGACAGCCCTGAGCTGAATCGAGTGACGGGGCCAGATCAGAGGATTTACCTCAGCATCCGCACCATCGTTCTGCTCAGTCATCCCGCACAAATGCAGCTGGTGCTACGCAAGCGCATCTGCGTGAACCTCACCGGACGACAGGTGTGACTGATGAAGTTACTTTTGTGTTTTTTTTATTGAGTGGTCTTTTATTGATCGGATCTCTTCCTGCAGGGTTTTGCTCAAAGTCTGCTGAGGAGAATGTCTCACCGCAGCTCAGTTCACAGCTGTGGAGTCACATTTGAGATCGTCTCAAATATCCCAGGGGTACATGAAGAGCAACATGATCTATTCTTGTTTAGGCATGCAGTTCTTGAGTTGCAAATGAGTTGCAATGTGAATTTGGATACTATACACTAGTGTTCAGAAGTTTGGGGTTTGAAAGAAGTCTCTTATGCACACCAGGACTGCATTTATTTGATAAAAAATGTGATAAAAAAGAGTAATATTGTGAAATATTATTACAATTTAAAATAATTGCTTTCTATTTGAATATATCTTAAAATGTAATTTATTCCTGTGATGCAAAGCTGAATTTTCAGCATCATTACTCCAGTCTTCAGCATCACATGATCCTTCAGAAATCATTCTAATATGCTACACAAGAAACATTTCTGATTATTACCAATGTTGGTTCTTTGATGAGTAGAACGTTCAAAAACAACAATTGTTTGAAATAGAAATCTTTTGTAACATTATAAATGTCTTTACTGTCACTTTAGATAAATCAAATGCATCCTTGCTGAATAAAAGTACTGATTTACCTAAATTTTGAATGGCACTGTACATACAGTAAGTCTATGAGAAGCAGGTAACAGAAACCGGTGTGTGCATTTGTTTGACAGGACATTCAGAGATTTGAGGACAGAGAGATGCTCGCCCGACTGGCTGCCAGCACCGACAACCCAGGAGCGGAAAGTGAAGCTGCCATCGAGAAATACCTGCAGAGTGTGTTAGCGGTGGACAACATCCTCACGCTGGACCGTCTCAGACAGGTCTGACATACTTCATGATCTCCTGTATCTACTTTATATATGCCAAATAATAAGAATATAAATGCTTTGTTTTTTGCTATATACACGTACATGTGTCATCTTTGTATTTTTTTGTGAATTCAGGAGGTTTCTGTGAGGGAACATCTGACAGATAAAGGAAAGATTCCCAAACGCTGCCTCAGTTCACCCAATGTACACCGGGTAAGACATGAACAACATCTCTGAGAAAAAATCATCTAAATCAGCTTAAAATTAAACCAGAAATGAAATATAAGCTGTTTATTTTTCAGCTCTCTGGCAGTAGGAAAGATCTGTCCAGCAGCCAAGACTCAGAAGACAATAAAGTAAGAAAAAGCACCTTAAATAGTGGCATAGCAGTTCAGATTTCCAATAGTTTGGTTTGTGTGACAGTTCAGTACATACTTAGTATGCCACTGTTTTGGGAAACTACTAATAGCAAGCAGTGATTTATTACTGTGATACAATCCTTCACTCAGTAACATTCAGGATACCTGAATTTGTACAGTATTTGCGTCTTTGTTTCATTTTCAGGTTCATTTTATTACTTATTTACTGTCCATCCAGATGTTCAGCTTGTTTACTGATGGTTTATGTCCGTGCTTTGACATTCTGTAGAGTGGTTGGGACAGTCGGCAGGAGATTTCTATGCTAACATCAGCCACAAAGAGTCCATCTCACTCAGCGTCAGTACAAAATCAAAACTCGGAGCCAGGTAACTGTCCTCATCCTCTCCTGCTGTCCACGTTTCCCTTCACAGGTGAGCCAGAGCTTGCATTACCTGTTTGACTTTACTCTAGAGTTTGGCTGTCTTACATGCCAACAGCAACAAACCAGCAAAAACAGCAAGAACACCTTTGCAACCATACAGAACACATGATCAAGCACTTGGAACAACTTCGCAACACCTTAGCAACCATACAGAACAATATAGCAACATGATAAAAGCACACAGAACAATTTAGCAACATCTTAGCAACCATACAGAACACTATAGCAACATGTTAAAAGCACTGATAACAACTTAGCAACACCTTAGCAACCATACAGAACACTCATTATAGCAACATGATAAAAATACTCAAAACACCTTAGCAACACCCTCGCAACCATACAGAACACTATAGCAACATGATTAAAGCACACAAAACATCTTAGCAACACCTTAGCAACCATCCAGAATACCATAGCAACATAACAGCATTGAGAACAATGCCCTAGAAACCACTCATCATGCCATAGCAACTGCATACAAATATGATAGTCTCTCTGAATACCTTAGCAACACCCTAGCAACCACTCATAATACCACAGCAACTGCTTACAACATAAAAACACTTAGAACACCTTTGCAACACCCCAGCAACCACTCATAATACCACTGAAATTGAAAAGTAACATAATTAAAATACTCAGAACACCTTAGCAACACCCTAGCAACCAGCCTAAGCTCTCTAGCACCTTGTCAGCAAGCGGCACTTTACTTCAGATAACTTCAGATAAGTTGTTGAAAGTTGTTACTGACGACTAGTACATGTACAAGTGCATTAACCAGCACTGCATGGCGCTTATTAAAGGTTTGTGTTTGCAGCAGTTGTTTGGTGCATGTCATCAAAATGCTATTAAGTAAAACGGTTCAGTAAAAAGGGTTTGCGCTTCATTTGGCCACTGTGCTTTAACTGAAGGTGCTGATCTGCTTATGTAGTTCTGTTTTTGCTTTATTCATGCTTTGCACATTTTTTTTTACTCACGTGGCTTCTCTGCTCATTTCTCCTCTGCTTTTCTTCTGTCCTTCCATCTTTCTCTCTTCTGCTGCTCCTCAAACCCGTGTTTCTGCAGGTCTCTCAGGATTTGCTGCATCTTATTTCTCCCCAGTGAAAGCTCTAGTGTCTCCAGTACCCAAGATGTTCAAGACTCTGTTATCCAAGAAAGAGGAGAAGAAAGAGACGCCTCCTCCTGCTGTCTTTGAGCAGGTAGCAACACCTGCTTTGGCTCTTAGTTTATGAAACATTTCTAGATTTAGAAGCTGTGATTACCATACAATGTCCTGAAAAAATGTTAATTTATACATTTTGAGTTCAGGGTTGTTTCATTTGTATTTAAATGATGTTGCTTTTTATAAGTAATAATAATCAAAAATTAAATATAGAATTACTAAACCAGTAAAATAACATTCATCAAGTTGTATTGCAAAATGCAAAAAACCAGGTATTCCTGGTAAAACACTTGATAATATTTTTCCCCTTTATACTCACGTGGCTTCTCTGCTCATTTCTCCTCTGCTTTTCTTCTGTCCTTCCATCTTTCTCTCTTCTGCTGCTCCTCAAACCCGTGTTTCTGCAGGTCTCTCAGGATTTGCTGCATCTTATTTCTCCCCAGTGAAAGCTCTAGTGTCTCCAGTACCCAAGATGTTCAAGACTCTGTTATCCAAGAAAGAGGAGAAGAAAGAGACGCCTCCTCCTGCTGTCTTTGAGCAGGTAGCAACACCTGCTTTGGCTCTTAGTTTATGAAACATTTCTAGATTTAGAAGCTGTGATTACCATACAATGTCCTGAAAAAATGTTAATTTATACATTTTGAGTTCAGGGTTGTTTCATTTGTATTTAAATGATGTTGCTTTTTATAAGTAATAATAATCAAAAATTAAATATAGAATTACTAAACCAGTAAAATAACATTCATCAAGTTGTATTGCAAAATGCGGTATTTTTGGTTTTACCAGGTATTCCTGGTAAAACACTTGATAATATTTTTCCCCTTTAATTTCACCTAGAATGTGCCACGTATTATTGTGCAGTCTGCCAGTCTTGAAGACATCAACAGCTATGAACTGGTAAGTCTGTTCAGTTAGAACCTGAAAAATAAAATTTATATTTGTTTGGTATGATAATTGTTTGTTTTTTTTTAATAGTAATAATAATTGTATATTTATATAAAACAATTTGTTTAAACTTGTGTAGCTGAAAACATTTTGGATGCATTTTATGGTAGCAATTTATTTTACAGTACTGTTTCACGTGTACGTACTATGTACTTACTATAGCAATTACAATAACTGGGTAATAACTAGGAACTAACCCTTAACCTACCCCTTAACCTTTCTTTAACCCATGTGGTTATCTTATACTACCCAGAATGGTACTGTAAAATACACGTACAGTAAAATAAAGTGAAACCCATTTTATTTTGAAGACTCCACAGGGTCCATCAAAAGAAACTGCTCAAGACAGCCAATCAGAATCTGCTTCCTTTGTGCCCATATTTCCATTTATTCCTGATAAAGTAGAGACCACTGAAGCATCCACCATATCCTCAGAAACCACGTCTGACATCCAGATAGTAAGTCTACATGTATTCTAGGCAGCTCCTTATTAGTATGGTGAGCAGTATCTGGTGATGTGGTAAAGTGGGAAACTTAAAAGTTGCTTTTATTACTGCGTATATTATTAATTAGCTTGATCTCTATGATCTCCTCAGAGCCATGCTATGGAAACTCCAATTTCTGAGAATATTGAGGAGATTCTACGTCCTCAAGAAGTTGAAGTTCCACCTCTTTCTGTTCCTCCAGTGGTTGAGGAAGTTCTACCTTCTAATCTTTCTCCAGAGGTTGAGGTTCCACCTCCTAATTTTCCTTCAGAGGCTGACAAGGTTCTACCTCCATCTGTTCCTCCAGTAGCTGAGGAAGTTCCAGCTCCTAATCTTTCTTCAGAAATTGAGGAGGTTCTACCTTCATCTGTTTCTCCAGAGGCTGAGGAGGTTCTACCTCCATCTGTTCCTCCAGTAGTTGAGGAAGTTTCAGCTCCTAATCTTTCTTCAGAGGTTGAGGAGGTTCTACCTTCATCTGTTTCTCCAGAGGCTGAGGAGGTTCTACCTCCATCTGTTCCTCCAGTAGTTGAGGAAGTTTCAGCTCCTAATCTTTCTTCAGAGGTTGAGGAGGTTCTACCTTCATCTGTTTCTCCAGAGGCTGAGGAGGTTCTACCTCCATCTGTTCCTCCAGTAGTTGAGGAAGTTTCAGCTCCTAATCTTTCTTCAGAGGTTGAGGAGGTTCTACCTTCATCTGTTTCTCCAGAGGCTGAGGAGGTTCTACCTCCATCTGTTCCTCCAGTAGTTGAGGAAGTTTCAGCTCCTAATCTTTCTTCAGAGGTTGAGGAGGTTCTACCTTCATCTGTTTCTCCAGAGGCTGAGGAGGTTCTACCTCCATCTGTTCCTCCAGTAGTTGAGGAAGTTTCAGCTCCTAATCTTTCTTCAGAGGTTGAGGAGGTTCTACCTTCATCTGTTTCTCCAGAGGCTGAGGAAGTTCTGTCTCCATCTGTTTCTGCAGAGGTCAGAGAGGTTCTGCCTCTTTCTGTTTCTCAAGGACTCAAAGAGTCTCTAGCTCCTACTGTTCCATCAGAGATTAAGGAGGTTTCACCTCCTGCTCCTGTAGAGGTAGAAGACCCCAAGCAAAGTCCAGTTGGTGATTCAACAAACAGCTCCATCAGCGATGTCTCAAGTGGATACATCTCCACAAGTGTCTCCATAATGACTCTCTCCGAGTGTGTGGTCTCGAATGTTGATCCTCCTCTCCTCAACAGCACAGAGGCCAAAATAGACTCTACTTCCAAAAAGACTGAACCAAAAACAGAGTTTGTGCCAATAAGCAACACGTCCCGGGAGCATCAGTCAAAACTTGAACCAGCTGACCTAGAACTTGGAGAACGGGCACCTACAGAATCCCAGACATCAGAAGAACATGGTCAAGTGTCTCCTCTAGATGCGTCTCCTCAAAAAATCCTCAGTGTTTCTGATTCCTTACCTCAAGAAACCTCTGAAGCCAGCGTCTCTTCATCTTGTTCAGCCGCATCAGTACCATCTACGCCATTAGCACCACCAGTTGCCTCAAAAGCATCTGATCCATCAGTACCGGTGAAGACAGCTAAGCCATCAGCGCCTGCCCAGCAATCAAGACCTGAACAAAACGTCAAACCCACTCCTCCCACCTCCAACCCTTTCCAAATCCACAGAGTCAAGACCTCCGGCCTAAAGTCTTTCAAAGGGATCCTGCCTGAAGAAGAGGAAGAGGGTAAAACTAAACACAATAACTTTTCATCTGCACTGAGCGAGTCTCAAGAAAGACTGGAGATCCTTTCTGATTCAGAGGAAAGCCTTGAGACTCCCGACTGGCTGAAGGAGGGGGAATACGTCACTGTGGGCACCAATAAAACTGGAACAGTCCGTTACGTTGGACCAACTGACTTTGCAAAGGGCGTTTGGGTTGGAGTGGAACTTGATGTTCCAGCAGGTTGGTAATGCTCTTTAACTTCAGTAGATCAATATGTCAATAGAGTCTGCAACACTACCGGCATGCATATCCGATTCCAGTCATTGGAAAGGACTTGCAACCCCTTGACCAGTGTTTCCTGGACAATGGATTTGCAAATATTGTTTGTAAGGAGCATTTGCATGCATAACTTGAGTAGATCTAGAGAATAGTGTGTACAATACCACCTCCTTGCAGTACTTGCCAGGGCTGCGTTTTCCAAAAGCATCATTGGTGCCAATAGCTGCGTTTCTATTACAGATGTGCGCAAAACTTTTGCGATATTTTCTAAATGTCGATGTTATGCAACTAAAACATACTTTTTCCCTCTCATGATAAGTCATGGCGACGGATGTTGGTAGGTTTACATATATCGCAGCCACCACACTAGCCATTATTTTTAATCAAAGGAGATGTAAGCGTCTATCTTTAGAGAAGCAGCGCGGAGAGCCATTTCTGGGACGTTTCTGAAATGTGCCGTGGCGTGGCTGGTATAAACACAAGCATTGAGTAGAGTGGCCACAATAAGCTCCAGTGGCCGTGTCGGAGCCGTAATGCGCGGCAGATGTGTGCAGTGTAAATAAGGGGTTATCCAAGCATTAATGGCAAGGAAAGCTCCTTATACTTGAGAGCGGCCACGTATGAAGTTCTTGGAGGTTAATAGTATATTAAAGAATGATCATATGATTTTAACATATGCCAGGTGACCTGTAAATGCGAAAAAAAACTGTTTACAGTTTTATGAAATATTCCTTTTTCAAATTGCCGGAAAAACCACCTCATGTGAGCGTAAAAACTTTTTTGCGATATATGCAAGTTTTTGTGAAATTTACATGTTTCCATTGGACGTATTTTCAATTCGCAATTTCAATTTGCGCATTCTGAAGGGTAATGGAAACGCAGCTAATGGCTTCTACAATCTGCTTAGGCTTGTGATGCTTTTGGGAAATGCAGCTCTGGTCCCAGGTATTACGTGTTGTGGACTTGAAATTTCGTATGATTCAAAATGGTGCTCACTAGCGCCTTTTTACAAAATTTATGCTTGCATAGACTTCACAGCGGTCCACTAACCGACTGTTCTAGTTATTAGAAATTAAGTCTAATCGTATGATCAATGGACTATTGATTTGCAATGGTTCGTATTCATTTCTAGATAAAAACGATGGTTTGGACTTGTGGTTGTGTATGAATCAAAATGCGAAATTTACACTTGCATAAACTTCACTAACCAACTGTTCCAATTATTAGAAATGATGTCTAATTGCATGATCATTGGACCATTAATTAGCAAATGTTCTTCTCTTGTATGCACCAAATAATTATACTTTTCTTCATGTCCAGGTAAAAACGATGGTTCGGTCGGCGGTCGCCATTACTTCCACTGCAACCCTGGTTACGGTGTTCTTGTGAGACCAAATCGAGTTGTAAAAGCGACGGGTACCGCTAAACGGTTGAGGCAGAAACGCAATCAGAACCTCTCGGGATCTAGTCCCAACCTGGCAGCCCTTACAGCGATGGCCAAAGGAGAAGCTGGAGCACGCAAGGGTGAAAACAGGAAGTCTTGGGTTAGCTGAGGAAAATGCATCATTGTTGATGGACGTGTACGGAGGACAGTATTGGTATGGCACTGAAACACTACACTGATACTTGCAGGGATGTAACTGCCACCTGATTTACGCATGTCTACACTACATAGTGCCTAGTGTTCGAAAAGCCCATGTTAGAGGTGTATTTTCAGCCTCGGTAAGCAGTATTTTTGGTATTATTATTATTTTTTTTATGTTTTTAATATCATAAAGTGCCCCGCTTATCTGAACCCAATGTCAGGGAGTATGTCCATGTGGTTGTTCCCTAGAAAAATCAGGACACTGATGGATTCATTTCATGATTTTATATACAGTAGGAAGGCTAGATGGGATTTACTTGTGGAGATAAAAAGCTCCAGACAGTTTTATTCATAAATGATTGTTTTTAGTGTTATTATGGGGAGTTGGTTCTGTATTTTCTCTTGGTTTGGTACCTTTGAATTATTGTTTTTCTTCTTCTTGAACAGAGTAATTTATGATCAAATTGTTATTTATTTTGCACATCAAAGTAATGACAAAAAATTATGTTGAAGATTTTATATTGCAATGGTGAGAGTAATAAACTTTATTATTTTATTATCTTGCCTTTAAACATCTGCATGAAATCGTAGAAGATCTTATATTCCATCTTCAAACTCTTTAAAACGCAGTAATGGAAGAATAAAATCACACGGCTGATCATCAATATACCTTTATTTTCCAGAAGATAAAGTACTAAAATAAACACAAGTTTTAAAAAAAGTCATTTTAAACAAAGAAACTGTACAAAAAGTTCATATATACTATAGTATACTTACAGAACAGTCTACTGTCCAAAAAAGGCACTAAATTCTTAAATGGGAGATACAGATGATTCACAACAGAATGCTTTGAAATCATAGACTTATTTGATTCAAACAATCTTTAAATTCATAGTTACTGTCTTCTGTTTATTTATACAGTTGCTTTTATAGGCCTATAGATTTTTTTGTTTATAGACATATGAAAACTAAATGGAAAGCACCCCATTTAAACCAGCGGGGTTAGCGTTCGTTGCTCTGGATTAAAACACTTGAGGCAACAGAACGAGTCATTCGTAGTATCTGTATGTCACTGTGAGATCATGTAAATGTCAATACTTGACGTCATACTGCAGTTTGGCACATTCTGTCATGTGTACAAAGAGGCTCTAGTGACACAGACGTGGACAAGTCGTTTCCTTAGTTTGAAATACAACTGTAAAAGCACATTTGAACATTACAGCATTAGAAAACGACCTGTAACAAACTTATATTACAAAAAAATGTGGCAAATAAAGTAGTGTTTCTTGAGTGAAGGGGGTGCATGATCTGAATCAGACACGCTTCAGGAGACTGCTCTGAACATAAAAACGGTGTAAAACAATCAAATAAAAAAAGAATCTTGAATTATTATTAAGCAAAAATTGTCATTTTATAAATATCAATTGTACACAGGAAGAATCGAGGAAGGATACATAAAAATAAAAAAAACTAGGCTTCATTCATGACATGGACAGAAGCAGTTTCTGTTAGCTGTTTGTAAAACCATTCTTATGTCATTAGTCGCTTTATGCAAGTGTTGCATTGAGTTTGTGATCATTTATGTAAGAACGGCTCTACGAATGAGTCGTTCTGCTCGTTTCAATGAATGAAGCCCAGCGAGTAAATAGTTATTTTAGAACCTTTTTGAATAAAATAAGCTACAATTTGGAATCAAGCTTATGTTAGATGAGAGTTAGACTCTCAGAGCTGTGTGGCAGCAGAACAAACATTTATCAGTCAGTCTCTCGTGAACGATTAACACTGTGGAATTCTGATGTCATTTCACAATATTAATAAAAGTTCTTGGGAGTTCGCACATGTTATAATTCTGACTGCTGTCAACTTGAGCCAGTATTTCACATTGACGTATTTCGTTCTAAACATCATGAGAGCAGATGCTTCGGTCTTTGCGTGAAATCTTTGCACGTAAATAAAAACGTAAAAGCTAAATAAATACAAACATAAGAATAGCGCTTTAATGCATATTGACTTTGGGTAATGCTGGACACTTAACGGTTTAAAATTAAGAAAGCTAGCGGTCTGCCCACTGAAGTCTCTCTTTGCAGGTTCATTTAGAGTCCAGGAGACTTGCGCTTTGGCGGTTATGTAACCATATCTTTCAAGTTTCACTACAATTAATTTCACCCCTCCCCCTGCCCCTTTTGAACATAATTCAAATCAAAGTACAATGTAATGCAATTGGATGAATCTAAAAAAAATATATATAAATATCCTGGTTTAATGTCTCCCGCAAACCAAAAGGAAAGTAATAAGAAATTATATTTTGCATTTTGAAGATATTTTTCATGGCATCATGCCAATTACGCACATTTTCCCTCAAAAAAAAAAAAAAAAAAGTTTACCTTTTTTAATTATTATTTTTCAAGTCAGCATACGGTATGCCAAATGCTTTACAATGTAAATATTTTATTATCAGCATTTTTTTAGGAAAATGTGCTTAAATTTTTATTTTTTTTATTTTATGCAAAATATGTTTATTTATTTCCCTTTCATTTTGTGTCGAGACACATTTTTGACAGTTTTCATGAGATTCACCCAATTGCTGTTTGATGAAATACCGTACAAAAGTAAAGTAGAGACATTAAACCTGTTAACTGAGAGCATCTGTAGCGGGAATGGAGGAAGATCATGGATTCAAAGCAGAAATCAGACTCACCTCTCTCTTAAACTATCTGCCTTTAGCTTATCTGTGAGAATGAAGGAATGAGGGTCACTGGAGCACACAGACAGGAAGCACACGAAACATTATACAAGGTACTGGAACTGGAATGAGGTACGGGGTTTGGGTCAGCCAGGGTTCGGGAGGCTTAAATAAGAGCTGTAGGTGATGGCCGAACATCGTGGAACGACCTCACACTTGTCAGTTCCTGTCGAGAGTGTGTGTCATTGACTCTGGGCTTGATAAGTGGTTCAACAGGAGTGTCGATAGCAGGCGATATTAGATTCTAAAAGCTTGAGACAGAGCATTGATTTGGTCATTGCTCCATAAACACGTCTGGAGACATCTACACACGCACTCATTGATCCTCTTCGTCCCACGGTCTTCCTCAGTCATCATCCAGTGACTCTGTTTTGATTTCACTGGCCACGCCTCCCGGGCGGGACAGGGCGAGGATGCTGTGATTGACAGCTGCCATCTCCACGGCAAGAGAGATGGGGTCCTGGTGGTCTGCGTGATTGCCAGCATCATCCTTAAAGAGACGTGTATGTCAGTGAAACATTTGATATCAAGTCACAAAATGGGGTCATGAACTGCCTTTTTTTTACTTTATTTTGTACTGTTCTCAGAGGTCCACTTATAATGTTAAGATTTTTACATAAAAAAAAACATCATCATTGAGAAGTAATAGGCTATTTTCTGTCCTGTTTGGACCCCCTCATCAGAATGCTCTGTTTGAATAGATGTGACGGATTGTAGACTCGGTGTATGTTTGACAGCTACAGCCTTCATAGATGGACGCTGCTGTGATTTAGGTTAAAAATGCATAAATACTCAGTACACATCAAACGATCTGCAATAACAGACAAATAGTGAGCACGTAATAAAAACAGTTCCTCACACTTATGTGGTGCGACATTACTGTCAGATACAATATATTCAGCACAACATCGTCTTTTAGATCAGAAGGAAGGCGATGCAAAGGCTGAGTTTTTCCACAGCTTGGCTCTGAACAACGTCTTGTTAACTTGTGAGCATCTTTATCGTTTGGTTTCTGCATAGACCTGCATTTGCCTCTCGTTATTTACTCTACATGCATGGATCGGTGGGCGGAGCTAAACAGGCAGTGATGTCATGTGATACCTGTGTTGGTGAGGTGGGCTCCAGACGGTAGTAACCAAAAGGTCGGTTCATGCCTCTCTTTTCAAAATAGGAAACATCACAACCCTGTAATGAAATCACTAAGATCAGCTCTAGCAGTAGTGTTAAACAAACATCCCATGTTCAGCAGATCTAAAAAATAAGACAACGGATCCTTTAGTTCGAATGAGTCGTTTGATTCACCTGCCCACCTGCTCGTTGTAGTCGTTAGCATCGACGTCGTCACTGTTGGAGTGTCCTCCAGGACTCTGCACATCGATCCCGTGACTCTCCAAGATTGTGGCTTCTTGGAAAAAAGACCCTGTCATGAAACATCTGAAACTCTTTAAAAACCACTACCACAACAAACGAAAAATAGCTAACGATTTACTACTAGTAACCGAACCAGTAAAATCCTGACTGATTTGAACATGTTTCTTCATCAAAACAAAGTCATTACTATATATAAATCAGGGGTATTAAAATTAACTCAAACTAAAACCATAAAACTGAAATAAAATATACAGTTTATAAAATTTAAAATAACTTTTTTTTTTTTGTTGCTAAAAAAAAAAAAAAATTAACTATAAAATTAAAATGGAAAAAGTGTTTAATATTAACATATTAAAATATGTTTTCAAAGAAAATACAAATTAAAACAGAAAATACAAAAATAAAAACAGCTTAAAAATATTACCAAAAACTACAATAGTATCTCAATGATACTAAAATAACATAAATCAACTAAAATATGGTACCAATATTGGCCCTCCTCTTGATCTCTTTGCGTCGGTTGGCAAACCAATTGTAGACTTTCAATGATGTGACTCTTTCCAAGTCAGACAACTTCTTTCCTAGCCAGGAAAAACAAGATTGAAAGGTCAAAGACGACTGCTAAAATGCAAATGCGATATGTCATTTGAAGTGCAATAGATAAATCTCACTGTGTAGATTCAGACACACCAGCATTTCTACCTGGTTTCTGAATAACAGCGTTGCAGGCGTTGGCGATCTCCTCTCGTTTGGCTTCATCTGGATATTGATTATCACTGAAATAGCTGAGGAGAGAACAAAGCGTAAACACCGTACAGTTAGCAGGACTAGCGTGCTTCTGGCATGATTTGAGCTAAAGAAGCACATTTTATGAGAAAATTTTATTCCTGATTTAAAATATATTATTGAGATGTAACACTGACAAGGAGTTTCAGACATTTCGTTTTTTTCAGAAGGGGCGTTATCTCCGTCTCACCTCTCCATCACAGCGAGACATTCCTTCCTCCAGGTGAATCGACTGCCTCTGCGCAAACGGAAGCTTCCAGGGGCAGAGCTTATGGGGGGCGGAGTCTGATGCCACTCCATCTCATCCAGAGATACAGGGGTGGGACGCATATTTAATGTGGCACCTGAAAATATATATAAAAAATATATACACGACCGTTCAAAAGTTTGGGGTCGATACATTTTTTCATGTTTTTAGTCTCTTATGCTCACTGAGGCTCACTGCAAAAATGCAGTAAAAACTGTAATATTGTTTAATATTATTACAATTTAAAATATGGGAATATATTTTGAAATGTAATTTATTCCTGGGATGCAAAGCTGAATTTTCAGCATCAATACTCCAGTCTTCAGTGTCACATGATCCTTCAGAAATCATTCTAATATGCTGATTTGCTGCTCAAGAAACATGTCTTATTTCTTATTACAGTTGTGCTGCATCATATTTTGTGTTGAAACACTGATACATTGTTTTTCAGGATGAATAGAAAGTTCAAAAGAACAGCAGTCATTTAAAATAGAAATGTGACACTATAAGTGTCTTTACTGTCAGTTTTGATCAATTTAATGCATCCTTGCTAAATAAACATACTAATTTCTTTCCAAAAAAAATCAAAAAATCTCACTGACCCCAAACTTTTGGTTGGCAGTGTATTTAAACATTTTGACCTGTAATTGGGTTCAACCTTATCTTTGCACATTTATCAACCTACAATAAAACAAGCAAAGTTCGTTAACCTGGCGTTGTCTTCTCCAGCTGGTACCAGCGATAGAAAGCTCGTTTCTTCTGTTCACTGAGATCTGAGCCCTGCTGGAGGAGCCAGTGAGAGATTCTGCTCTGACTGATGCCTGACACGCAGAAAGAGAAAACAAATCAATGCACAAGTCAGAGTCAAACTGACAGACAGAACAATAACGAAACGACAACCCATCTTACATTCAGAATTCTATTTTGGTTTAGTAATTACAGTTTAATCTATTACACTTAGGTTTTCGGTTCTTGCTGAAAGCGAAATGCTGTAAGGCGACAAAATCATAGTTAATCAGAACATATTGTTTAATAAAAAACTATGTGAAACCGGATTGTGAATAATTAACTGTATTCAGTGGCGAGTGGCAAAATTGGAAACCAAACAGCCAACAAAATAATCTATACACTTGTTGCGGTTGTGAACAAAGATTCTGATGGAAATCGAAGAGATTTATCACTTGTCTCATCACACCTGGTTATGACAGTGTTTTAGGAATATTCCAGTTTCAAAACAGCATCTGTGACATGCTGTCGAGTCATTTTGACTCTTGTGTAAATGCTTCAGTACAAAAGTGTTATTTGAGCTGTGAAGTCTAAACTGTCTATATTTAAGCTGTGAAGTCTAAACCCTCTAGCAGTGGGACTACTATTCTTGGCAGATGAACTACCTGTGGTTTGCAAAGACAAGTTCAGTAAACGAATCTATCACACTACAGGACATTATTAAAGATAGGACAAATAACACTGCAGTCTTCACTGTAGATTAATACTTACTAAAGCTATAAAAGTTATTCAGTCGAGCAGTTTTCTCTGTCTTTTGTTGTTTGATTGACATTAACAACACAGATAGCAGCAGGTATATTAGGCTGCTGTCACTTTAAGACCTAACGCACAGATCTAACATATTTGACATGCATCCAATTTTCTGTTTACATTCACTTAAGGCAAGAAACTATAGGCAATATTTTATATTTTTTGAGACACTGGTCAATTTTTGAGTTTTTGATCTATTTTGCTTACATAACATGTCTTCTTTCAGACTAGAGGAAAGACAACATCCAAAACACACATTTAAGTGTATTTTATTATACTTTAAGTATGTGAGAATTTTCAGTTACAATACATTTTCTCAACACACATACATTACATTCTCAAAAATACGTTTTCTCAAAATGATTTTTTTTCTCCTGCACTGAGTCAGAAATCTTCACTTCAGTAGCACTTAAACCACATTTTACCATTTTGTTCATAACTATATTCTGAAGGTTTTTTACAGAGGGGTTTGTTAATATATAATTTGACTGATATATATATATATATATATTTAACATTTTATTCCAAAAACATGGTGAAATTTATTTTTTTATGGCTGTTGTATTTTCCGATTTATGTAGTTATAAAAACATCCCCTCTGTAAAAACCTTTGACTGTAATATATCCAAAGAAGAAGAAGAAGAAACTATTTTGAACCTGGCTTTATCTAATGTTCAGATTTCTGTTCAGGAAATGTATGCAAATTAATGGATACAGTACTGAGCCATGAAAATGTACCATACTTTTTTAAATGAAATAAATAGGATTACATTAATTATAACTTGATCATTCATGTTAGTTCATTAACTCATGTTAACAGATAAAACTTTAAAATGTAAAAATTTATTAGTAAATGTAGAAAATTAACCATCTCTGCCACTCTAGTAACAGACGCAACCCTGAAAAACTATAAGTATGTATTTTTGCTGACAACCGAATATTCCAGCTATCGGTCCCGATTAATCTGCAAAACTGATCAGTCAGTCAACCACTAATTGGCAAGACTTAAAAACACGTGCAAATGTGAAACTTGACGCAGTAATGGCCCCACATCTGTACCAAGCATCTTTCACGCACTGTGTATTTTATTACAGTACAATGTCTTGCCCCATAGACTTGTATTGTAAGTACATTTCTGAAATGATTGCTGATGATTGATTGAACATGATAGATGTTTTACAAATTGGGGTAATGGGGTGAACTGACCTGTGACCTGAGCCACCACAGCCTGTGAGATGCGTCTGTTGCCCAGAAAGGCTTTGATTTCCTCCTTCACCAGGGTGCTGTCTCGCCTGCACACATCACAGGACGCAAACATGACAGCTGCAATTCAACACCACAACAACATGACGTCTGTGAAGATTCAGTTATCAAACTCATCACAGAATGTCTCCGAGCAAAATGACACTGCTTAAACCCGGTAAACACAATCACATGTCAACAGCGCTAGATTCAGGACCGGTTTAGAGTGAGTTTGAATCGACTTTGATTTTTTTATTTAATTTTTTTTAAATGTCTGTATAGTTGTTTATTCATTTTTATTTCGGTTGTAGTTTTAGGGTGCTTTCACACTTGGTTCGCTTGCCTGGTCCTGCTCCCCCCTCCCCCTGCCCCCGCTAGACTGCGTTCATATTATTTTATTTGGGTCCGAACCGCGGTTCGTTTGCGTCATCAAGCCAGCAGCTGTTTACCCCGTTGCTTAGTAACGACGGCGCAGGAGAAGGCGACATTGCTCTCTGCACTTTTATATATTTACGTTTTTAAACCGTTCGTTTTGTTTACAAAGCTTTGGTACATAATGGCACTTAAGTCTGTCTTACGAATGTACTGCAAATGCTCTAAAGAACGCTGAAGGCGAACAGAAATGAGATATTCAGCTCTCTGTTTGCAGTGCGTCAGTCACGCTCCTCAGGAAAGTGAGTGAAACAAACACACATTTTTATCAAATAATACGTCATTAATAGCGGTTCACTTCCGCGATTTGGTACGATTACGTTCACATCAGCAGCGAACCGTACCGGAGTTCACATGAACCGTACCCCAGACCACCCTTTTTAAGCGAACTCTGGTACGGTTCGCGGGTGCGCACCCGAGTTCGGAAGACAGCGTTCACATCATCCAAACGAACCGAACTCTGACGTCAATCGAACCCGGGTGCGCACCAAAAGTGCTAGTGTGAAAGCACCCTTAGTTAGTACATCAAGTTAAACTACAGGAAAATTTGAAATGTTTTGACAATTATTATTTTTTTAATTAATTATTTTAGTTAATTCATCTCAAGGCTCCAGACTGCTAAACTGAACAGATTGCAAATGTATAAAAAAAAAAAAAAAAAGAATAAGTACATACAAAAATATTATTATTATTTTAAAAATTACAACTTTATCTTTAACTTTGCCATTTTAAATACATATTGGTAAACCACTAGTAAAACAAAACAAACAAACAAAAACCTTTCAGTTATAAAAAAGGAAGTACAACAGTGTTCAGCAAATTTTTTGAATGTTAATAATATACTACATTGGCACATTACTACATATTTTTGCAAGACTGAGTGGCATTATTATATAATTTTTAATATGTCTATATAGTTTTTAATTCATTTTTATTTCAGTTTTAGTCTTAGTTTTTTAGTAAATAAAGTGACAAGTTGTCAAGTTATACTAAATGAAAAAATATAAATGTTGCTTTGACAACTAGCTGAAATTTTGTTATTTTTATATATTTTTTGTAGATTTTATTTATATTTTATATTATACACTTTTATTATGTTTATATTTCATTTTTTATTTCAGTATTTATATTTCAAGCAATGAACATTTTCTAATGGTTTTAGTATTTTAGTTTTAGTTAACTATAATAACCCTGACTGACTGACCTCATGAGCTCCTCCACCTTGTCATCTATATCCAGGTCCTCCTCTGACCCCTCCAGCCCGTACGACCTCACGGCTGCCGCACTGTTCACCGGGTAACGGTTCGGTGACAGTTTCCCATTGGGTGTCGCCGCCAAAGCGTCCCGCCCGTTCTGCGCCATGGCGACCAGAGAGACCAGCGAGGGTAAGACGGCGGGTGGAGACGTGGCGTAACTGTTGCTGGGCGACGGTGATAAATTACCGTGGAACTGCGTTTGCGTTGCTGTGGAAGTGGTGGAGGAGGTCGCCATGGTGGCGTTGCTAGTGCTATTTGAGGTGGGTGTAGTGCTGGAGGTGGTGCTGTTGGTGGCGTTGGAGTCCGACGGGCCGCGCCGGCTGTATTTGTCCCCGTGCTCGCGGTCGAGTCGCTCCAGGGTGTCCAACGTGTGCACGATCTCGGGTTTGGTCATACCTGTACGCCGCAGTCTCTGGAGCAGGTCGATCTGTTCGATGGTGAAGCGTGGCTCATCTGTGTAGTGAGACATTCTGACGGGACACAAAAACAAACATTATTGAACACAATGCACATCAATCACATGTGCATCAATGGCTGTTATAGGAGAGCGTTCATGAATGCTGACAGAAAAAACAAACAGATGCTTCATTAAGAACTGAAAGTTTGCATACCGTGCAGTAGGCCTACATACTGAATCCTGCCTATTAACAAAAAATTATGCAACAATTATTTTGATCATTAACATGCAATATTTTTGACATGTTACCTCAAAATGTTGAATGATTAAGTGAATGGTATCCAGTTATCATCTCAGTTAGCTTCTTGATAAATTATTACATAAAAAAAATAAATACACAAAAATTGGTCATCCAGTAGTTAAGTAAATCCTAAAAACGTTAAGCATTCTGAACAAACAGTCAAAAAGTAAAAAATAATGGCTGATACTGCTTCTAGTTCATTCATCTCAAGGCTCCAGAATGCAACTAAAATGGTCGCAAACTTATAAAAAATATATAAATAAAATACATATATAAAATAATTATTATTCTACACAATTTGAAACTTTACAATAAATTAGGGCTGCCCAATTAATCGAATTTCTAATCGTGATTACAATTATGGATGGCACAATTACGTAATCGTTCAAAGCGGCAATTAATCGTTCAAAGTCCACTTGTTATTCTGCGTGCCTAAGATGCGTTTTTTTCTTTCTACGTGTTATCTTAAGGGTTTTTCCCATTATTTTAGTTTTAGTATAACATTATAATACCATTCATATTTTTACTTTTTTATAATTTAAAGAAGAAACCAATCCGATGTATAGTTGACATTTGAGGCTTAATACTATAGAAAAGCACTAAAGGTTTTTCAGTTAGAGTGTTTTCAGCTTGTTTATTTTCATATAAAAATACGGCATGCAGTTGAATCAAACAATGGTATAAACATCATTCAATGTCAATTGTGATAATCGTAATTAATAATCGCAATTACAATTTCAAGGGAATAATCGACAATTATGATTTTTGTCAATCGTGCAGCCCTACAATAAATAATAAATGTAAAAATATCTGTCATATTGGTCAGTCACTAGTAAAAGAAAGAAAGAAACAAAAAGATACTGTGCAGTACTGTGTACTCCCTACTATTTAAAAAAGGAAGTTCAACAACAATATGCACCAATAACTGTTTCAAACATTATGCAACATTTTAACTCAGGTTTATACTTGATATATTAAATTGCCATGAAATAACTCGTATTGAGCAACAAGCAGTAACTGATAAAAATTTTAAGCATAGTCACGAAGGTATAAATAATGGAAGGCGTTGCTTCTAGTTTGTTCATAAAATAAAATATAAAAAAAGAAAAATACAACAAAATAAAATGTTGTTGTTTGTTATAAGATTTTTAACTTTATAATAATATTATATGAATGAATATTATAAAATATGAAATGAATATTATAAATATATAATATTATAAAATATGTAATAGTTTAAGATGCAAGTTCCATTAAAAAAAAAAAAAAATCCCAACAAACAGTAAATCAAGATGTTAAAAATAATGGATGATGTTGCTTTTGATTTATTAATCTCAGGGTTTGTAGTTATTATTATATAAAATGTGCAACTTTATGGTAAATATAAGCATATTTTTGTATAAACATCTAATAGCCATGATTATGAGGAGTCAATATTTAATTAAATCTTTAGAGTTTAAGTCAGTGCATTGGAATCAGCATCTTTGCACAATGCAACAATAAACACTTACATTACTTTTAAGACTGGTTCTCCTTAATAAAAGACCTGTTCTCTTTCATAAAAACTGATTCACAAATGACTCTCAAATGCACTAGTTAATGTTTATATGGTTTGAATCAATCCAATGACTTGCTCACTGAACTGTTCAGAGCTTATACTAAGTTAACAGCTCAGTTTAATAGTCATTTGGTTTTAGTCTGGAACTGTGTGTCACATTGTAAACAGAAGGTTGAGTGCATTGCATTGTGGGATAGAGGTTGTACATTTCCTTACTGTGCACAGCTTTCTAACACATATTTTCTATAAGAATAGTACGAAGGAACAATCCCAGAATTCACTCCAACATGTCAAGACTTAGATCCTTAGACAAACGAATGAATTATCATAATTTCAAGTGCTCCGCCATCTCATGGCAGTCGAGTTATGATGATAAAAGCAGGATTCATCTGACCTACTTAAAATTCTGTTTATCCAAGACGGCTTTCATCAACAAGCACGAGCAATTACTGTCGCTGTTGTCAAGGAAACCATACCAGCCAATGACTGATGGAGTTTATGTAACTCCAGATTAAAGCGCAGAATGCAAATACGGAGCATGCTTTGTTTAACCTTCTAATCCAGAGCACATGGTTTTATATTAAGCTAATGGTTAGTCATATTAATACCAGGCGGTAATAGATGACTAGCCAACTGCAGCTATTCTATCCTCTACCAGGTAATATGAGCAATTCAATCAGTGATGCTTGACTACTAAGAATCTTTATTTCATCTTTATGTCGCAGCAAAAATGAATGGGAAAGACTGGAAACCCGGCGACCTTGTGGCAACTAATCTTCTAACGTAACACGTATCCCAGTAGCACAGCTGGTTTGCTGTGAAATTCCTCACTGGTTTGGAGTTTTCCATTAAACCAGACCTATTATAGCCTATTTACACAAGTTAACCGTTAACCTTACACCGCTGGAGCCAAAGCACTCACTGCTAAAAAAGGGCTCAGTGGGCTCTTGTACAGCATAATTGCTTCCACTTAGATCTCAGATGATCCTTATAAAAGTCTGTGATAGGAACGTGGCAGCCGCTGTGGGTTTCTAAAAATATATCACTGCGAGGCTTTGACTGAGGCAGAAATTGTGTGTGCGATGAAAGATACAATACGCTGTCGCTGTCATGAAGAAGCCCTTTTGTCATGCATGCGATCCTTCTCTGACATCTCTTAACATGCACCGAGGGTCTCACCCATAAGCCCTGCTGCATTAGTCATCATGTGGCATTAAATACTGCAGGCGTTCACTGCAGGGCTCTTTATGAGGGCACAGCTGCAGAGACTGCAAGTCAAGGATGCAGTCCTGCACCACATGCACACGTGCATCAGCTCATCTGACTGCATCCAGACACGTCAAACGAGTTCACCGAGAGCTTTAAATAATAACCCACATGAGAATCCCTGCGCCCTTCTTATTTTCATTTAATAACTACTGTTTATGTAGACGTGGTCATCGTGAAACACAAAATTAGACTGAAGTAAGCAGGATGGAAAATGTTTTGCATTATTAAAAATTGACATTCTAATATTTGGCTGTTTTGTTCATGTTTCTAAAATTAACAACAAATAGTAATACATGCTGTAGCAAACTTTGTGTAAATAATTATTAATTTCATTAATGGTTATAGAGTTATGGTCTGACACAGGTTTTATGACTTAAATGTATACATTTTGCGCAACATCTAAAACACCACACATTGAAGGTGGACAAGATGCATTTTTTAACCGCTTAGTTGGCTTAGGTGTTGCAACAGACCTGACCAGAAGCTTCTAGAAATAGTAGCGTGCATAAAAAAAGATGTATCCCAAGAGGAGAGAAATCGTTTTTCAATGCATTTTAAGTAACTCAAGTTATGAAAGCAGATCAGAACAAATCCATGCAGCAAACTCACGATCAATGAGGATTATCAGCAAATCACTTTCATTTAACTTCATTTCCATTTATGCATTGCATGTGAAGGGGCTTCAGTCGACCGGTCAAAGCACAGACTATTTAAAATATGGATATTTTCTAAGTGCATGTCATATGATAGTGATAAAAGCACAGATATACGCCCATCATCTTTGTGCATGAAAACTAACAGCATATCCAGCATTAGAAAAAAAACCGCATACGAAATATAAGCATACATATATTAAACATGCACTTATTAAATAACAATTCATATGAGAAACATTGAGTATTTCAACCTATATAAACAAAATAAGTTTTGCATGACTCATCTGTGTCCTGACCTTTGCAAACAAACACCAAAAGGGCTTTAAATTAACAGCACACATGCGTAAATAAATCTCAACGAGTTATTCACATGACTGTTTATTAGTAAATATGACGAATATGCACAAATAAATACAAGAGTTCAGCACTTTCACACTAGAAAAACTGGCTACATAACTCATTAACTGACAATTATATTACTGCATAAACTATCTAGACATGTATAGATTTAAACTAGACGCATATGTCGGTTAAAATTAAATCACGAAGCGTGTTTTAACAAGATAAACAAAACGAACTGAATTATCCAGGCGGCTAACGTTAGTTAGCTTAGCACGAGCCAGCACAAAACTGACTCCTCAGGGATAAAATCACGTTTCTTACCTGGAATGAGGAAAACACACAAACTCTCAGCGCAGCAGATCATTTAATGTGCTCTGTCAGGCGACGAAGATGATATTTTATGTGATGTTGTGAGGAAGACTCGCCCTGACTGACTGACTGACTGACTGACTGTCTTTGTCTGACTGACAGCAGCCGCGCTGACGTCACGACGCACGCCTCGCATTGACTCGGGAAATGTAGTTCATTGCTATCGCGCCTCCATTGTGAGAGATGGACGTGTTCCCAGTGTTGCCAACTTAGCAATTTTGTAGTCTTTTCAGACTACCCTAGCAACTTTTTCTTCCAAAAGCACCTAGCAACAAATTTAGCAATTTTAAACATTTATTTGGCAACTTTTAGCAACTTTTGATAAGGACTCAGACAATAAAAAGGCACACATTGTCCATCCAAATTACACAAAAAGAGGAAACCACAGATGCCTAGCAGTACACACATCACGTGAATTGAGTTAGCTGCTATTTGCAATTGTTCAATTTAATAATAATAATAATTGAATAATTTGATAATTGAATAATTGTTCATTTATGATACACTTTGTTAGTAGCTTGTACCTGCGATTGTTGATCAGTTAGTACACTGTAAGAAAAATGGAAAATCTTTCAGGACATTATCCATTATCCATCATCCTTTGTAACCCTGTAACCCGAAAACACAATGCGTAATTTAAAATACAGGTAAAAAAAAACATTACGGAAAATTCTTTCATATTAACAGTAGATTGTGCCTTATTTTTACAGACTTTTCTTAGAGTGTAGCATACTAACTAACTACTAATACACTGCTTAAAGCATAATTGTTGAGAATGTGTAGAGTTTACTAGCTACTAAAAAAACTTAAATTGTAATCATTTAAAAATGTGTACGTTTTCAATAATTCAATGTATTTAAAAATACAGTTATTTATATTTTAATATTATATCATGCATATTATTTTAAAAACAAATCTAAATTAACATATATAAAATATATTTTTTGCTGAGGTTTGATGATGTGACAATTTTGCGTCGTGATTACGCAATGACGTCATTGAGCAATGACATCACAACGTCATTTAGCAACTTTTAGCAACAAATCGACCTTCCTTTAGCAACTTTCTCTGAAAATTAGTTGGCAACACTGCGTGTTCCTTCATGTTTCATTTCAGTCAGACTACAGAAAAGAAGCGGAGAGGAGACGTGAGAGGGTGTGAAAGACTCAGGTTTCCTTAAATTAACTTTATATTACGTAAAGGTGTGTTTAAAGTTCATTTATTTCTATAAACAGTTGCTTGAGGTGATTGCATCTGAGGAGGATAAACATAATATGGACATGATATCTTCGGGTACACTTCAGGTTCTTCTTCCATTAAATGAAAAGAAGCGTAGGGCGTAGAATTTAGTAGGGATGCTAGGGACATGTCAATAAGTTATATTGCTATAAGTTATAGCAATAATTTTGATCAAACAATTAAATATATGCATATGTAACCACTGTTGTTGTAATTTCGGCCGAATCTAAAATAGGTCATACCATTGATATTTCCTGAGAAGATCAAGTAAATACGTTAGAAAAGTAGCTTATTGAAACTGAGCTTTTCGAAGCTCAGAATCAGTTAAAGGCACAACATGTAAGATTTTTTTATTAAAATATCCAAAAACTTTGTTTTGTAGAAAACGTGGAAACACCGAAGATGCTTTAATATGTTGTGCGTTTTAATAGACCGGTGACGACCGCACAGAGTAGCATTATAACAGAACTTTCAAATGTATCTAGTATGATAAAACAGCGCTGCTTTACCCCACATACGCACGACCGGAAGGAGTGGACGCGGTCGACTGTGGCATAATAAAAGCTCCACTGCTTTCCAGCCGTGTGTCACGCTCGTTCAGCGCCTCGTTTCGCTTCGACGGTTTTCAGCCTCACCCTGCTTCATACTACTACGTTAATAAATCATTAGCTCATCCATGAACATGATTTCTGCCCGAGTCCCGTCGGATTGCATCGGCTGTGGGGATGAAGACCCACAACTCCCATGATTCCACACTCAGTCACTGCGTCATCAAACTACGCCTTTGTCTATTTGTTTATTTTGAATACGTGCCCTCTAGTGGCAAAAATTACATATTGTGCCTTTAAACCACTTCGTTGCAAAATGATTCACTGTTTCGAAGCGCTCCAATCAGATCGCATATCATGAATCATTTGATTCAGATCGAGAATTCAAAGTGCGTATCGCTAATCATTTGATTCAGATCGGAATTTCGTAGTGGGTTCGCGAATCATTATTCAGATCAGAACTTCAGAGCGCAGATCGTGAATCATTTGATTCAGAACGGAACTTCGGAGCACGTATCGCGAATCTTTTTTTCTGATTCTTTCGTTCTTTTTTTATTAAACAGTACAAAACATAAAACCATTAAGGTGGCACAGTTATAAAAACAAAATAAAGAAACAAATAAAGAAAGTATACACGGATACAAATCTGGTGTTTAAGAAACTTAACCATGATTTTATTATAGTAACAGTGTAGTAACCATGGTTTTTGGCCTATTTAGGATGAACAGAGCTTTGGATAGTTTCCATATACTTGTCTCTAGATCAACTCTGAATAAAGAAAAGAGAGGTTTAGAGACAGATTTTTGTTCATGCATGTGAAATTTAGCTAGCAGGAAACAAATTAAGTTATATATTATTCTCTTTTGAGTAGTCAAACAATCCAAAGAAAACATCTTTACCCTGCTGCTGTAATGTTGTTGGTTTTACATAATCAAAATTGTGTAATTATTGTCTGATGAATATGCTAACATAGAAAAGCTCTCCTTATGAATTATGAGTATGTGATTTACCATAGCTATAAATAAAGTCTTTAGATGACATGAAACTGTGGTCATACGTCTATCATAAATGCAAAAAAAACCTACGCTATAGGTATTTGATAACCCCAAAATAACAAACAAGACCTTTTTGTATTTCGTTTGTCAAAGCAGACGTTAGAGTGCGCTGTTTTACACTGTTAACTCTAAATGGATGGCCAACAAAATGACAATGAAATCTCTGTCCAAATGAGCTCTGTATCTGATGAATGAGTCTCCTGTTTTATTGCTGTACATTTAATCTACATATTATATTTCTGTAAAGTGAAATAATATGCAGGAATGCTTCAGTGCTGCCCACAGTCAGGGCTAAAGATGATGTAAACTAGCATTGTGTTGTTGTTTATGATGTCTTGTTTTGTAGATTAACAAAAAACAGCATTATGTGACCAAGATTGAAAGATTTACATCTGTGGGTGATGCTGTGCATGTTCTGAAGATTTGTTGTAATATATTGCACTTTTTCTGGACATTTCTTGACAGTTAATTCAGGTAACACACACTCCTATGCATCACAGTTCACTCAGACATGGTTTCTTACAGAAAAGTACTGTGACTGTAATGAGGTACAGATGGTAATACCAAGGGTTTTTAAATTACAAATGATTAGTTTAGTCATGTACCATTTGGTATTTACATTGCACTCAAATTTCCATTTGGTATTCACATGGTTCTTCGAAGAATAGCATGGTATTACCATAAGCAAGACAACAAGTGTTGTTGCCAAACAGATTTATAGAAACCGGGCTGTAAACACAAGCCTGTTTAAATGACTCTGATGTGACATTTCTGACACTTCTATGTCAGTGTTTGTCATGACATGCTGTCATGTGGATAGACTTTGCCAAAAGAAAGGCAATAACTGTGGCCTAGTTCTGCTGGCTTTATGTCATCATCAGATGTTTGATTATTTTTATTTTGTTCACATGCTTCAGGTTAGGGAGTTTATCTCACAAAAACACGTATTGGTCACAGTTTACCCCTATTTTAAGACCAGGACCCCCCAAATTCTCATGATCATAAATCATAAAAATCTCATTCTGATTGCATCAGAATATTTTATTGAAAATTTTGGAATTTCCAATGGTGATCCTAATACAAAAATACTAATAAATATCAATATTTATATTATAAAATATATATTTTAAAAAATTATAAAACTTTTAAATATAATAAAAAAATTATGATTTTAAAATATATTTAAAATATTTAAAAAAATGTAATTGGCATGAATTAAGAGCAGTGCTTAAATTAAGCTAAGCATGAGCAATTTACAAAAATTAGCATTTTGCATTAAGATAATGAAGTCTACTTTTACTATTTTAATTTTTATTTTATTTTATATATATTTTTATTTTTACAGAATAAGTTAAATGCAGTACAGTAAATTTTTCCAGGATGTATAAATATTTTACAAATATTTTATTTTTGCATTACACTAATAAGAATACGGAGGTAGATTTTGTTTTATGCATATACAGTATATCCATACATGTATGTATGCAAAATGTATTTTTTTATATATTTTTTTTTAA